ATGCAGAGTGAAGTGAATAGAACCAGGAGAACAATTTATGTATGCAGTGACAAAAATATTATAAAAAACAAACATCTTTCAAAGTATTAAAGAAGTTGATGAGTGTAATGATCAACCATGATTCCAGAGGACTTATGATGAAACATGCAACCCTATCCCATAGAGAGGTATTGGACTCAGAGTACAGAATGAAATATATAATTTTTTAAATAGCCATTATGGGAATTTGTTTAGTTTGACTATTTTAGCTTGACTATGTTTGTAACAGAGTTTTTTTTTTTTCTTTCTCTTTCTCAACTGAAGGGTAGTGTGAGGGTGAGAAGGTAGATTTTTGCTAATTGAAAAAAAATTACAGAATGGATTAGCATTCTAGAAAAAAAAAAATCCATTCTGGAATTTTCCCAGATACCAGAGTTAAGATTGTTGGCCTATAGTTTACAGACTCTGTTATCTCCCCCTCCCTTTTTTTAAATATAATTAGGACAATATTTGCCTTTGTCCAATCTTGTGGTCTTTCTTCTGGTTCCACATTCTTTCAAATATTACTAACAGTAGCTCAGCATTCATAATTACCACTTCTTTCAGGAACCAAAGGGTCATTTATCTGGACCAACTGACTTGCCTAGGCACTCTTTTTCTGTATCCTTATTCATCTGGGATATCAACTCCCTCTTGGGCATTTTTGTTCTTTCATTTCCAAGTCAAAGGTCATTCTCCCTGAAAAACCAAAGCAAAATAAGAATTAAGAAGTTCTCACCCCATTCCAAGCAAAGGTACTAGCTTTTCTTTTGTCTTCCTTTTTCTCAATATGTGTGTATATATAATAGACATGTATGTGTATGCATTATGTATGTACATATGTATGTGTATACACACATATACATATACAGTGGATAGACTTAGAGTCAGGAAGACTCATCTTCATGAATTCAAATCTGGCCTCAGACTCTTAGGGGCTGTGTGACCCTGGACAAGTTACTTAACCCTGCTTTGCCTCAGTTTCCTCATTTATAAAATGAGCTGGAGAAGGAAATGGCAAACCGCTCCGGTATCTCTGCCAAGAAAACCCCAAATGGGATCAGGAAGAGTCAGACATGGGTGAAAAACAACTGTTTTGGGGGGCTTTTTTTTAAAGATCCACACTTTTTCATCGTCTTTTTCATTGTCTTCTCTTTCCTCAGTTCATTCTGAGTTTTTACCTTCCTGACCGTGCTCTTACCTGACTTAATTTCCATCTTTTGTACATTTCTTTAACATATCTAAATAATCTCTGTGCCTACCCACATGAGGCTCTAACAACAAACCTCATTTTTCGTCCTCGGAATTCTTTTGGTATGTGTCTTTAGAATTTCATTCTTGAGCATTTCCTATCCCTCCTGGGTTAATTTCTCTTACAGCATTTAAATCCATGGTATCCTACTTATGTTTCCTCTAAAACATTTGAGACCTGCTTTTCCAAAATCTACAATGTATATCTGACTATGCTTAAATTCCTTCTCTTCTATCACAAACCCTTAGGAGGTCATGGTCACTCCACCACAGGGTTGCTATCGTTTCTATCCAAGCAACTAATTCCTCCCTGTTAGTGAGAATTAGATCCAGAACAGAATTTCCCCTTGTTGGTTCCTTCCCCTTTTTGAAGTATCAGATAAACACTAAGGTAAGTCAAGATATTATTAGCTACTCTACTTTTCTGGGGGTGGGAGAGAGAAAGAGAGAGAGAGAGAGAGAGAGAGAGAGAGAGAGAGAGAGAGAGAGACAGTGTGTGCTCTGGTAGTTGAATGAAATGAATGTTTGAAAAGTATTTATTAAGCATTTACTATATGCTAAGCACTAGGGATACAAATACAAAATTGAGATAGTCACTACCCTTTTCAAGGAACTTAAATTTAATGGTAGAAACAACACATATAGGGAAGATGTCTGGGTAATAGGTAACATTTATACAGTGCTTACTGTGTACCAGGCAATGTGCCCTGGGACGTAGGTGCTATTTTTTAAAATAATCTATTTATTTTTAGTTTTCAATGTTCACTTCCATAAGATTTTGAGTTTTAAATTTTCTCCCCCTTCCTCTCCTCCCACCTTTCCAAGATGGCATGTAATCTGATATAGGCTCTACTTATACATTCATATTAAGCATATTTTCACATTAGTCATGATGTATAAAAGAATTAGAACTAATGGGAAGAACCACGAGAAAGAAGAAATAAAACAAAACAACGAAAGAAAAGGTGAGCAAATAGTATGCTTCCATCTGCATTCAGACTTTATGATTCTTTTTCTGGATGTGGATAGCATTTTCCATCATGAGTCTTTTGGAGTTGTCTTAGATCTTTGCAGTGCTGAGAAAAGTTGAATCTATCAAAGTCAGTCATTGCACAATGTGGCTGTAACTGTGTACAATGTTCTCCTGGTTCTGCTCATTTCACTCAGCACCAGTCCATACAAGTCTTTCCAGGTTTTTCTGAAGTCCTCCAGCTCACCATTTCTTATGGCACAAGAGTATTCCGTTACATTCATATACTACAATTTGTTCAGCCATTCCCCAATTGATGGGTATCCCCTCAATTTCCAATTCTTTGCCACCACACAAAATGCTGCTATAAATATTTTTGTACATGTGAGTCCTTTTCCTGTTTTTACAATCTCTTTGGGATACAGATCTAGAAGTGGTATTGCTGGATCAAAGGGTATGCACAATTTTATAGCTCTTTGGGCATGGTTCCAAATTGCTCTCCACAATGGTTGGATCATTTCACAATTCCATCAACAATGCATTAGTGTTCCCATTTTCCCACATCTTCTTCAAAATTAATCATTTTCCTGTTTTATCACGTTAGCTATGGTGTGATGTAGTACCTCAGAGTTGTTTTGATTTGCATTTCTCTAATCAATAGTGATTTAGAGCATTTTTTTATGTCTATAGATAGCTTTAATGTCTTCCTCTGAAAACTGCCTATTCATTTTGATAGGTGCTATTGTTATACTCATTTTATAGATGAGGAAACTGAGGTAGATATTAACTGACTTATCCAAGGTCACACAGCTAGTAAGTGTTTGAGGCTGGATTTGAATTTGGATGTTTCTGACTCCACTGCACCACCTAGCAGCCCCTGGATAATTGGAGTCCCCCAACATTACTACATTATGCTTTTGCGTCAGATTTGTGATCTGTTTTCCAAATTCTTCACTTACTTCCTTTTTCTATCCCAGTAGTTTGTAGTATGTGTTAATGAGAAAATCACTTCTATTTCTCTCTTCATTGACCTTCACCCAAATACTTGTCATCATTTCCCTGTTCTGGTTCTGGAATTCTTTTGAATAAGGTCCATCCAAAACAGTTTGGTCATGTATTTCACCCCACCAATTCTCAGAGTTACATATGAAGTCAAATTTACCTCTTTGTGTTGGGCCCTCCAGTTACTTTTGTTCGTATAAACATTTGAGACCATGGATTTGATCACTGGCTCCTTTCTAGAATTGTATCTCCAGATATTTTTGGGTTATCTCAACTACTATATTTCTGTATGTACTACTAGCACAGTGTGTCATGGAATTTTGGAGAGACATTTTTTTTAACCAATCATACCACTTATCCCAGTAGTGGTTCAGCATCTGGTAGAACAGATCACTCAGAACCTGAAGGTTCAAACAAAGAGTTCTTTTATTAAAAACATATTCCCATACCTTCAGCTAAAAGCAGTTTCCAAGGCAATTAAAAAGGTCAGGCTGTTAAAATCAGATAAAAGCCCCATGGCTAGGAAGTTAAAAGCAGTCAATAAGCAGGTTCCCTGGAGCTCTCCCCCAATGTCCCCAAAACTTGTTGTCCAAAGGGCCTAATAGCAGGATTTCAAGTCAATCAACCGGGGGCCAAGTTAACCCAAACCACTCCAGGTCTGCACCACAACGTCCTTGCTTATAGAGTTGAGGGATTTTGGGACCTGGGCGATTTTCATCCCTCTCCACTTCCCTGTCAGTAACACCACCACAGTAAATAATGGTTTCTAAAAACTGATATGGTCTGGATGACTAATCGATATCAACTGATAGAGCCCTGAAGAGAAATAGTTGACACTCTCTGAGAACCTAGCCTGCTAACTGGAATGGGGGTTGGAAGAAGAACTTGAGATTATCACTATAAGATTATTGACTTTTACGTAGAGTTTTAAAGGTTGCAGAGTTGTGCATGTATTTTTTTCATTTGAGCCTCACAACAACATCGTGAGGTAGGTGCCACAGGTATTATTATAGCCATTTTACAGAAAAGTAAACTGAGGCTCTGACTTGCCCAGGGAACCACAAGGTTGGTGTCTGAGGTAGGATTAAAAAAAAAGTCCCGTTTTCCCAAGGTTTAGTGGGGTGACACTTTTTTTTTTCCCACCATGGCTGCTTAAAGTACTCTGCTTGGGGCTTTGGCACACCATCAGGACAGGGCTGTTGAGTGGACAGAGAGAGAGAGACTTGGCGCTAAGGGGCGGTGTGTGTTCTTGGGCAAGTCCTTTCCTGTCCCTGGGCTACTGTTTCCTCTTCTGTAAAATGGGGTAGTGGATGCAGTTCATGACACCAGGCTAATATTCTAGCTGAACCCTCCTCTCTGGCCATCCGCCTGTGCTTTCAACCCCCAGGTTCCCAGGTTGCTCTACGCACCCTGGGAACAGGATATCAGGGGTGAGGGGGAAGGGAGAGGGGGCTGCTCTCTGAGCGCGCTCTGTTCTCTTTGGTTGACCTAGGACCCACCCCCAACAGCCTGCAGCCAAATCCTAGAACATCGGAGCCACTAAGGAGGAGGGCTCAGAACCGGAAGGAGGCGGTATTCCTACTGGCTAGAGTGTGTGTCTCTTTAAGAACGCCTTCTGTGTCGCGAGCCTCGCCGGTCTTTGACCCAAGCGTAGCAGCGGCGGTTCCCGTTGCTAAGGAAGTGATGTCTTGACGGGAGGGGTGGGTCTGTGGAACGCTCGGGGTCCGGCCTCCCGGAAGCGGAAGGGGAGGGCTGGAGCCAGGCCGGAGCAAGCGGGGGCCTGGCCGGAGGCGCCGCAGCCGCGGGGAAGCCGAGCTAGGCGGGATCGGTCTGGCGCCAAGATGGTAGATTACAGCGTGTGGGACCACATCGAGGTGTCGGACGATGAAGATGAGACGCACCCCAACATCGACACGGCCAGCCTCTTCCGCTGGCGGCACCAGGTGCGTCCGGGGCCGGACCCTGCCCCGGGACCTTCCTCCTCCGACTCCGAGATCGGGACTCGTCCTTACCCTGCCCCACTCGTCCTCCCGTTCTCCCCCCTTTCCGCACCCCCGGCCGGACCCAAGATCTGGCCCCCTTCTACTCGACCCCTTACCCCAAGACCCTCGTGCCCTCCTTCCTATGACCCCGGATCCAGGCCTCCCCTGGGGCGGAGCTGGGGGGGCCATCCCTCCCCTCTAGCCCCCGGCCGCAGCTCCCGCCCTCCCTTCCTGTCCAAGGTCCGGCCTTCCTCCAACCCGAGTCCGCCCATTTAATGCGAGACCACTGAGGTGCGTGGTGGCGGCGTGGGGGGCAAGGGGACGGGCAGTGGGGATTCCCTCGAGCTGACGCCCCAGGCTCGGATGCTGAGCCGATCACCTCTCCCCCCAAACTGATGCAGCGACCCCGGTCCCCGTTATTCTGTGGGAACTTTTCTCCAACCTTCAACTACAAACTTTCCCTTTCCTTTCCCGGAGTGCTTAGAACAGCCCCGAAATCTCCTACCACCGAAATGTAGGTGGGTTGGCTTCAGGGAGGTGGCAGGGTGTCTTCAGACCTTCCAGGCAGGCCCAGAAATTTCCATTCTTGGTGGAATCCCTGTGGGATTTTCCTGTTACTCAATTCCTTAGCCTGGCTCTCCTGTGAAATCTAATGCAAGAATTTCCGTCGGAAGACCAGGGTTTGAAACCCAGCTTTGCTGTTTGCTATCTGTGTGACCTAAATCACTTTAATGAGGAGAGTTAGTTTGTAAAATGAGGTGGTTGGATTAGATCTCTAATATCCTTTATAACTCTGAATTCGGTGAGATTTTCTGGTTACACTCCTCTCCCTGAGATGTCTTCAGTTCTTTTGTTGATACCTTTTCCTACCTAAGATGTTCCCTCCATGACTTCGCTTCCTAGGGTCACTGCTAAGATCCACTTGCTGCTGTCATGCCTGAGCACATTGCCTAACTACAGTCCCTAATCTCTCAGATGACAGTATGGGACCAATAGAATGTACATTTTGGTACAATTTAAGGGCCTTGAGGATAGGTACTTTTAAAAATTTTATCATTTCGTGAATCCCCATCACCTCAAACAGAAGTTTGCACTACTAAGTACTTAATAAGTGCTTTTTGGATTGGAGCTGGATGCTTGGGGGCTATAAGACCCAGACCCAGGCCAGAATATCCTGACCGAGTCAGTTGTGCTTCCAGTCCCATAGTATGGAGCTCTGAGTGGAAGCCAGGTTTAAGCTACTGCTTCCACTGACTGAACATGTATAATGTATTTATTCACAGGTCTTTATTTAGCTCAGCAGGGGTGAGGATTTGGCATCTGTGGGTGTCAGGATTGGGCCCATGGGACAAAGAGAGTCTGCCAAGCTAGCCAGAAACACTTGTTTCTGTGGATCCCCACAGAAGAGGAGGCATTTCAAAAAAACCTTTCATAGAGCAAATTAACCCAGGAATGGGGTGGGGCTGACTGGGGAGGTAGAATGAGTCCTGCAACCAAAAACATGTGGTAAAATGGAAAAAGCACTAGACCTGAAGTCAAGACAATTAGGTTTGGATTCTAGTTCTGACACTTCCTAGCTATGTGCAAATCACTTATCCCTATTGTCTGTTTCCTCATCCATAAAATAGGGATGATAATATTTGCATTACCCATCTACCTCACAGGGTTGTCCAGAGGAAAGTTCTCGATAAACCTTCATGTGAGTTATTACTAATATTTTTATAATTGTGTTTTTGGATGACAGAGGACTAAGATCAGCCCTGTCAGTCCCAGGGAAACTGTGCTGCCTGCCCTTCTTTCAGGTTCCTGCTCCCCCAGTTCTTGCTCTGTATCCTGCTTCCTCCTAAGGTGGTCGCTGCTCTCTGCAGGCACGAGTGGAACGCATGGAGCAGTTTCAAAAGGAGAAGGAGGAGCTAGACAAAGGATGCAGGGAGTGTAAGCGGAAGGTGGCTGAATGTCAGAGGAAACTGAAGGAGCTAGAGGTGGCTGAGCCCAAAGCCGGCCAAGCAGAGGTGCAGCGACTCCAGGCAGAGGCCCAGCAGCTGCGGAAGGAGGAGAAGAGCTGGGAACAAAAGCTTGATGAACTGCGCAAGAAGGAGAAAAACATGCCATGGAATGTAGACACACTGAGCAAGGATGGCTTCAGCAAAGTGAGTTGGGGATCAAATGTGTGTGTGTGGCAGGATTTAGCTCCCGGGGTGTCCTGTTGGGGGAGGGAGGTCCGTGGAAGTGAGACACACTGAGGTTCATGACCTGGGGCTTCCTTGAGAAAGATGGTGTTTGAATATGTAAAAGCAGCAAAACCAGCCCTGAGGCAGGAAGGCTCAGGCAGGTGATCATCCCTCCATCCCAAGGAGTGTGAAGCCTTCCGGTTATCTTTTAGGCAGATTCCTTGTGAAAAGCTCTTTTCTCTATGCCTGAATGAACAGACCCAACTCCTCATCTTCCTTCTCATGCTATGGAGGAAACTAGGTAGAGGGGCTAAGTCTTAGCATAGGGAAGATTTGGTTCACTGGTTTCTCCCCCTCACTTTCCCATCACAGAGTGTGTTCAATATTAAGCCAGACAAGGAGGAGGATTCTGAGGAGCAGAAAGAACAGAAGCACAAGACCTTTGTAGAGAAGTATGAGAAGCAGATTAAGCATTTTGGTAAGGCTTGGCTGTTGTAGTGTACTCTGGGCTCTCTCATCTGGGGAAAACAGATTCTGCCCTAGCAGAGCCTGCACTTGGACCATTCGTGGGGGTCATTTCCTAAGCTGGGAGAGTGCCCATCACTGGAGAGTTTCTATTTGGGTGGGAAGCTTGCTGAAGGCACAAGATTCCCAGGAGCCATGGCCTTGAAGCTATAGTCAGACCCAAAGCACTGTAGGCTATGAAGTGTTTTCAGCCTCAGTTCCTTCCCCTGTTAATAAGAGGATTGGACTAGGTGATCTCTAAAGGCCTATTCATTGCTAACTTCTGATCTCCTGATCTCAACTTGAGGGCAAAGATAGGGATATTGGGGTCCCTCAGTGCCTTTCCTTCCTTTCTCTGCCTCTCCCAGTGTGTTAATGTCATGGTTTCAAGGGGGAAGGGATGTTCAATCTGTCCCCCAAATTGACCCTACAGTAGAAGTGGTGTTCTGAATACTTCCAGCCCCTCCAATCACTCAAACCAACCAATGATATACATACAGCATATCTCTACTTGCCCATAATGCTGCTCTGCTATGCTGTGCTGTGGAGGATAGTGAAAGGTAAAAGATAGCCTCTAGCTTTATGGAGATTCTAATCTCGTTAGACCAAAAAAAAAGAAAGAAAGGAAAGAAAATGCAAAATATTTATACAAAATGAAATAGAATCGATGTCTTCAAGACACCTGGGTTGAAGGGTTAGGACAGGATGTGAATTTCTGTGAAGTGTCTATGTCTCCTAGCATGTGGGAAAGAGTGAATGAATAAAGAAAAAGAATGTTTTAGTGGAGAGAGATGTGAATGTAGAGGCTTAGGGCCTTGAAGTCCCTGTCAGTGCCTTGTGTTCTGACAGGCATGCTTCGGCGCTGGGATGACAGCCAGAAGTACCTGTCTGAAAACCCACACCTGGTCTGTGAGGAGACTGCCAACTACCTGGTCATCTGGTGCATTGACCTGGAAGTGGAGGAGGTAAGGCGGCCCGGGAGGGGAACCTTCGCCTGGTTGGCCTAGAACAACTACAAATATAAACGTGAACTGGGTAGAGCAAGCACTCCGCTGCTCTGGGGCTTGGGGCACAGGGAGATCAGGTTTGGATAAGGTCTTTGCTTCGAGGAGCTCTGCCGAGAGATCCCCATTGTACAACGTTACATGGTAAGCGCTCGCTCTGCAGAATTGTAGAAGGCAGTGTTCAATGAGGCCCCTGGATAGAGGGGTGGAGAGGGCCTGTTACTGCCCCAGAGGGTTGGGGAGAAGGCTTGTGCTTCTGTGAGCAGGTGCGCTTCTCTCCCCTTTAGAAATGTGCCCTCATGGAACAAGTGGCCCATCAGACAATCGTTATGCAGTTCATTCTGGAGCTGGCCAAGAGCCTCAAGGTGGATCCCCGGGCCTGCTTCAGGCAGTTCTTCACCAAAATCAAGGTGAGTCTCCAGGGCCCCCCCGTGAAGACTAGGGATTTGGTTCGGAGCAACAGGAAGGGAGATTGGCCGTGCAGGATTGGCTCCAGCCTGAGCATCATAGGGCACTCTCTGGGCCACTGAACACCCACTAGTTCAGGACACCAGCCAAAGGGTGAAAGGAGCCTTGTGGTCCCATTTATCTCCGCAAAGGAATTGTTCCTCATCTTTCTTTTTTCCCGTTCCTTCCTTGTAGACAGCCGATCAGCAGTACATGGAAGGCTTCACAGATGAGCTGGAGTCCTTCAAAGAGCGGGTGAGAGGCCGTGCCAAAGTGCGGATTGAGAAGGCTATGAAGGAGTATGAGGAGGAAGAGCGAAAGAAGCGCCTGGGCCCTGGTGGCCTAGACCCTGTGGAGGTCTATGAGGCACTGCCTGTGGTATGTCCTTGCAGCGGGAGCTAATTGGGGAACTGCTTGATCTCTTCTGTGCTGGGCCCCAGGGAGACTGCATATCCCAGGGCTATCTGAGCCCAGTGAACTTGCCCCAGTGGGTGAGTTCCTAGAGGGCCAGTTGCCCAGAAAGGACTCAAGCTCTTCCACTTGAATGCTGAACCTTTTCTCCTGTGGCTAGCTGTTGTTTTAGTCATTGAACACCCTGTGTCTAGCTGTCCTTATCTGTCCTTTGGAATGCTCACATTCTGGACGTCCCCTTATCCATCCCTGTGCTTACTTAGGAGCTCCAGAAATGCTTTGACATTAAGGATGTACAGATGCTGCAAGACACCATCAGCAAAATGGACCCTGCGGTGAGTGTCCAGTAGGGGGAGCCTGGAATAAAGTGTAGTCTTGCCATGGCCATTGTCACACCCGGTTCCTTAAGCACTTGGGGTGTGGTGCAGGATTGTTGGCTGCTTTTAGTTTCCTTTCTTTGTCTAGACTTTTCATCTCCTGGGCTCCACTTCTCCTTGGCAGAGGGTCTTCCTTAGCAGTCAGTAGCTGACTTCTTCCCCCACCCTGGCAGGAACTAGAATCAAAGGGCCCCTCAGTCTTTATGGAAAGTTCACCAGCCTGGCAGAATTAGGCCTTTGCCTTTTCTCACTCTCTCCAGTCAGGAGGCAGCAAGAAACTTTCTTTTGGAGCTGCAGGCATCTCAGCCCTGGTGGAGCAAAGTGTGCTGGCCATCAGGGCCTGCTGCCTCTTAATGTGTGTCTGGGAGTTGTGGGTTCAGCTGATGGGCTATACATGCAGAGCTGGGGCTTTGGGAAATCCAGGGAGTAGAGAAACCTGTATGTAGGAGAGGAAACATTCTCATCGGTGGTGGGGTAACCTCTTGTTCCAGGAAGCAAAATATCACATGCAGCGTTGCATCGACTCAGGCCTCTGGGTCCCCAATGCAAAGGCAGCCGGAGGGCAGGAGAAAGGAGAGGATGAAGCCCCAGCTTCAGACCTTGTGGGTGAGGCCAGGAAGGGCAGGGTCGAAGAGGAAGAAAAAGGGAACATCTGATCTGGCCTCTACTGCAAACTTTATACCAGACTCTCTTTTAAGATGACAAAACCAACAAATATAAGAATATACAAAATATGTGAGCTTTTGAGTCTCCTGCTCGCTTTCCACACCAAAACCCCCAGTGCTGGCATTCCTCCCAACACCCCCTTTGTCCCAGCTCTGATCCAAATATCTGCTTTGAGCGTGAAGGGGCTTCCAGATGGCTCTGTGCCACCACTGCTGCCTCCCCTCCCCCCATCAGTCATTATCTTGCCCTGTGCCCAGTAGGAGTGGGAGCTGGTACTGGGTCTTGGGGGAAGGAGCTTGGACTTAGAGCGACTAGGGTTGTAGGCATGGCTCTGGGCACTGTTATGAACCCATTAGTGTGCTGTTGTGTCTATTTTTGAGGTGAGGGTAACTGGCAAACATCTTCAAATAAAAGATTTTGAGGAGTTGTGACCAGGGTTGACTTCTTGACATAACATTGTGAGTGTCATTTGCCAGGCTTCCCTTGTACCCTTTCAAGGTGGCTTTTACCAAACCCAACCAGAGGGTTATCCTATCTTTGTGGACAGATAGGTTCCTTCTTTCTTCTCCTACCCTTAGCTTGTTACACATAGATATGGGGAAATATCTGCCTTCTTGTGACCTTTCTATCCCTGGGCATGAGGACAAATTTGGGACAGAGGCAGTAGAAGTTTCTGTGACCATCTGCGAATTTCTTAAGTACAACAAGATGGGGGTGGGGGTGGTAAGGGTGAAAGAACTTCTTGCAAGATGGTTGAGTAAGTGGATGTATTTTGGTTTCCTTTACCTCAAAAAAGCAAGAAATATACTATAAAATAGCAACAACCAAAAAGGGAGGCTGAAGAAAGATATCCTAGCAAGGAAAGCCTTGTGGTAAACCAGTCAGAGACCAAAGAAATAAGTAAAGAACAAAAGAGGTCCTAATACAATGTGGAAATGCCCTAAGGCAAGAGAAAGAAATTTTCATTTCATTTAGGTATTAATAAATAGTACGGTAACAACTAGACCTACATGAAGGAAAATGGAGCAACCACAGGATCCTTTTGAGTGAGTTAGACAACCAGAAATGAAGAAGGGCCTTGAGGGATTGGAAAAGATGGGAAACTTCATAGTTTTTAGCAAAGCTGGAAATTCTTCAAGCAGGCAGGACACAAAAATACAATAGTGCAAAAATATAGAAGAAAATTCAAAGTTGCCACAAAATAAAGCAACAGACCTTGAAAACAGCTCTCTGTTTCAATCTGAGAATTATTGGTCTTTGTGAAAAAAACAATGAAATGAATGAATCATTTATTAAATGCCTACTACATGCAAAGCACTCTTCTGAGTGTTGGGGATACAGAGAAAGGCCAAAGGCCCGACTCTCCAAGGGCTTACAGCCTAATGGGGAAGACAGCTTGCAACAACCATGTACAGATAAGATAGACAGGATAAATGGGAAATAATCAACAAAGACAGGGCACCAGAATTAAGAGCAGGAAAAGTTTCTTGTAAAGGTGGATCTTAGCTGGGACTCGAAGGAAACTTGGAGATGGGAATGAGGCCTAGAGGACAGCAACTGAAAATTCCCAGTCAGAAGATTGTTTCCTTAGAAATTAACAGCAAGAAAGCAAGAGTCACTATTGTAGCAGTGTGTGTTGGGGTGGGGGAGAAGGGTAGTAAGTTGTATGGAGGGTTGTAAGTTTTAAAGGGTTTTGAGTGCCAGAGGAGTCTGTATTTGATCCTGGAGTTGATGGCCACTGAACTTCATTAAAGTGGAAGAGTGACATGGTCAGACCTATGCTTTAGGGAAGTCACTTTGGTAGAGTGGGGAGAGACTTGTGGAAGGGAGACCAATCAGCAGAGGCCATTGCAGCAATCCAGGCATGAGGCAATGAAAGACTTGCACTAGGGTAATTGCAGTATCAGGAGAGAAGAGAGCATATAAGTGAAACAGTGGATAGAGCTCGGGGCCTGGAGTCAGGAATACTCGGGTTCAAATCTGATCTCGAATACAACTAGCTGGGTCACCCTGGGCAAGCACTTAACCCTGTTTGCCTCAGTTTCCTCATCTGTAAAATGAGCTAGAGAAAGAAGTGGTAAACCGCTCAAATATCTTAGCCAAGAAAACCCTAAATGGGGTCAAGAAGAGACCAACATGATTGAACAATTGAACAACAGTTTTACAGAGGGTAAAGTCAACACGTCTTAGCAACAGATTGGACAGGGTGTGGGGATGGGGACGTTGAAAGAGTAGAGAGTCAAAGCTGACAAGGTTCACAACCCAGGTGACTGGGAGGATGGCGGTACCCTTGATAGTAATAAGGAAATTAAGAAGAGGGGAGGGTTTGGGAAGAAGATGAATTCAGTTTTTGGACATGTTGAACTTTATGTGTCTATGGAACATCTAGCCCCCGATGTCCAATAGGCAGTTGGAGATGTAATACTGGAAGCTGTCAGAGAGGTTAGGGCTGGATAAGTAGATTCGAGAATCATCGCCATAGAGATGAAGATTGAATCCTTGGGAGCTGATGATATCACTAAGTGAAATAATCCAGAGGGAGAAGAGAAGAGGTCTCAGGACAAGTCTGGGGGACAATATCATGTTTAAAGAAATCACACAAAACTGTCTATAAGTATTGGGGGAAGGAGGGAAGAGAAGGGAAAAGGACAGATAAAGAGAATCCACAGGCTTTCATCAGAGAAGGATCCCAAAGGTAGTTTGCCTTAAACATCGCCAAAACCCAGAGCTTCAATTTACAAAAATAAAAGTTGGCAAGTAACTAGGAGGAGGTAACTGACATGTCAAAAAAAAAACTCCAGCTGCAATCATATAGGTCCTCTTTTTTTGTTTGTTTTTTTGCTTTTTTTTTTTTTTTTGATGAGGCAGTTGGGGTTAAGTTACTTGCCCAAGGTCACACAGCTAGTAAATATGAAGTGTTTGAGGCCGGATCATAGGTCCTCTTAAGAACAAAAAATGAAAGAAAAAGCTGGAATACAATATGCCAAAAAGTGAAAGAGAAAGCAAAGCTTGAACTCAGAATAATATCTGTGAATTGAACATACTCTTATGTGAAAAAAAAATGGATCTTTCATAGGATGACAGGTTTTAATGATTCCTTCACAAATAACCATATATAAGCAGGGCTTTGAGTACAAATTGATTAAACTGAAGCTAATTATATGCAAATCCAATAGCCTGAAAGGCTTATGTAGAAATGCAGTGTTTGTGTGTGTTAAGGAGCAGATTAAAGTGTTCCTTAGAAATCTTATCTTGCCTGTTTTTTTGGTAACAGAGAAAACAGCTATCATTGATCCCAATGATGATAAGACTGTTACCGGAAAGGAAAGTTGGAGATGACAGGGGAAGAAAATATTTCAGTTTTTTTGGAATAAAGCTCTACATGTAGTGTTGTATCAAACTATTGCCAAGGAATTCAAACAAAAACTATTGGAGAGGCTGTAGGGAGATTATGGTTAGATTGTTTTAAAGCAGAAACAAGTATAGGCTGTTCTTAAAAAAAAAAAAAAGCCAGCTCCTGGGATTTGGAACAGAGTTGGGGAAGGAAAGGGTGTGTTTTGAGAGAGAAGATTGGGACAGTCTTATTACAAGCCAAATAAGGTACAATTAACAAGTACTGTGTTGTGTGTGTTTTTTAATAGGTTGTTTAGCAGGATTTGATAAGGGAAAAAACATTAAATAATAATGTCCTTTTATTGTAATGACTTTTTCCTGTGTGGAGTTAGGCCAAACACTTTTGAGTGATTACAGATCTCATTTATGAGGCCCTGAAATGTTCTGAGGCTGGATGCAATCAGTACATCATCAGCAAAAGGAAGCTTGTGGCGACCTCTTTTGAGAAGCCCTCTTTGATGTGGTCTTTGCTTGGGATATTATTAATGACATTGAGAAACACCTGGGGTGAGCCTGTCTCCCCAGTTTTATTCCTTGATTGTTCTCAGCAATTAGCTTGCCAGTAGGATGGTCATTAAATGGACAGTAGTCCATAGTGTTGGCCTGTAAACCTGTACATCTTAGACAACATTCCATAGGGATAATGAGCTGGGCCCTGATCTGAAGAAGAATAAGAAAGCAGGGTAGATTTTTTCTTTTTTTACTAGACCTGTCATTTCATCTGTGTAGGAAACCCAGAGAGGATCTTTCCCCTACCAATTCAAATTGATAGGGGGGGGCAGCTAGGTGGTACAGGGGATAGAGTGTCAGCCTTGGAGTGAGGAGGACCTGAGTTCAAACCCAGTCTCAGACCAGACACTTGACACTTACTAGCTTGTGACCCTGGGCACATCACTTAACCCCAATTGCCTCACCAAAAACAAAAACAAAAAAAAAACCAAATTGATACCTACTCTGCAATTTAGAGTCTTCAAGAGTTGCCTGGGCTAGCGGTGTGACCCTGGGCAAGTCACTTAACCCCAATTGCCTAAAAACAAATAAGAGTTGCCTGGGACATTGGGGAGTCTAGTGACTTACCAAGGATCACACAGCCAGTATACATGGCTGAACTTGCACTTGTGATGATTTCTTTGTTCTGTGGCCACATCTTTGGTAAATTTCACAGCTCCTTCAATGACAGCCTCCACCTTTCCCTAGTAAAAAAAGATCCTTAAAACCAATTTTTTTAAAATGGATGACTGCAAGTCATAGAATTCCATTCCCCAAAGGATTCAAGTTGATCACCCAAAGGACAATAAAGAAGTACTTGGTAGGTATGAACAGGCTGCAACACATTGCAAAGGAGAAATTATGTTGGAGACACAGTGTGAAGGAATGGCCATGAGGGATTTGAAATTGGGATATATGTGAGAGCCAGAGCTGAAGCTCCTGAGCCTTCCTTCATCTGAGTTGGTAAAGGATGTCATTAGAGAAATGCATGTATGACTGGAGGGAAAAAAGATAGGTGGTTCCCATGATGAGAGAAAGGGATAACCAATAGGTACCCCAAATATTCCATTGGTGCCAGTGAAACATCAAGATACAGAAGAAAGCCCTGATATGTTGTGTGAACCCCCTGTGGCAGATTTACAAGGGGACAGAAACAAGAATTGCACAAGATAGGCAGAAATGAATGGGCTTCAATCTGTGTCATTGGGGAGAGTGCCCACATTGATGAGATCACAGATCCAATTAAATAAATTAATATTTGCAATTTGCCTGTGGAGAAGGAAACTGTTTAATGAATGATTGGTGAAGGAGAATTCTAGGTTTTACAGAGGCTTACTGGCAGTCTGTATTAGAGTTTGTGACCATTTAGAGAGAACCAAAAGGTATCTAACTGCAATGGCAGCATCTTGGAATCCAGAAAATATAGGGACATCCCTGAGGCTTCACTGAGCCAGGAGACAAGACATCCAAGCTGTGGTGAAACTGGGGAGATTGGCTGATGATCCCAGCTCAGATGCAGGCACTGGTGGGTGAAATCTCCTGTCCCTCACTCCAGCAACTGAGGGATCTTGTCTATTCCTTTTCTTAACCAATCCAAGAGTCTTTTAGAGGTTTCCCAGTCTACTCTGAAATAAAGTGGAATGACCTTATTTTCTGATGCTTTACTATTCATTTCTGTCTTCATTAAATGTTTTGCTTTCTGTCACTTAGGTGTTTGCAGAGTAAGCAAATAAGGAAGCAACACGATGTATTGGATAGAGCATTGGTCTTGGAATCAGGAACACCTGTGTTTAAATTCCCCCTCAGATATTTAGTAGCTGTGTGACTCTGGGCAAGTCATTCTCTAGGCCTCAGTTTCCTCATCTATGAAATGAAAGGTTGGACTCAGCCTTTAGAGCTGGAAGGTGGCTTCTAGCTCTAAATTTATGATCCTTTGACTATTTAGACCTGAGTTAACTTCAGAAGTTCTCAGTTTTCTAACTGGGTAATAAGCAAAAGGGTAAGTCAATTTGAACCCTAGTCCTGGAGGATCCAGAGATGATAGGATCCATGGACTACAATTAAATAAAATATTAACAAACAGGCTATAACAAAAAAAAAAATGTTAAAAACAAGACTTCATTATGACCAAGTTGTATTTGTACCAGGAATGCAAGGAAGTTTCAACATTAGGAAAATTAACACATTAATTATTAATAACAAATACATTTCCTTCTGGCTAGGGAAAGGCATTGACCAGGCTTAGGATGAATGCAGACCTCTTTCTGCTATGCATATTAGCATATCTGAGGCTTGTCTGCAGAGGATGGCAGTGAATTCATTAAAAAAAAAAATTAACAAGCGGAGCTAAATTGACTTAGCTTCCTACAGTGTCACAGGCATGGGCACAGTGGTTCAGAGAGGAATAACTGTCACAGCCCCAGATATGAAGTGAGGACACATGTTTAAACACCTGTAAATGAATAACTGAATTGTGGGAAAAGTTGTTTTCAGGGTAAGCTGTGACTAGAACCACATTCAAGCAATTTTTTTTTAAGTGTGTGTGTGTGTGTGTGTGTGTGTGTGTGTGTGTGTGAAGGTGAGGAAGAAGAGGGGTCTCTTTGGAGAAATGTGGCTGTCCTTCCCAGAAGTGTGGGGTGGTTGGATAATGGTGCAGTTTGAAAGCTCTGCTGGATGAGAACTGGGAGAAGGGCCCAAACCCAGCCCTTTGTCTCCATGGAATGTGTGTAGATTCCTGCTCTGGCTCTTGGAGACAGACCGTCCATCCTTGAGATCAGTGGAAGGACAGATTACAATCTGGTAATTGCTTTCTGGTGGGGCCTGGCCCTCCTGGGTGTGAATGTTTTAGGGGGCAGGCATGGGAAAGGATTATCCCTTTAATGACTTGGGAGTAGAAGTCACTGTTTCCTGTCAGGAGAGGAATGGGAACTGAAGGCTATTGCAGGAAGTACTCAGAGGAAATTATGGTGTATGTGAAAGCCAGGTGTCCTCTGAGCTGGAACTCCTGTCCTCTCCTGATCTCACTCAGCAACCATCTTCCCTGGACTCCAGGCCCAGAGCTCTACCCATTGAGCTATCTTGTTTTCTCTTGGTTGTTAGTCCCATTGGTTTAATCTCTAAAAGAAGTATTTGCTAAGCTCCAATTATGTGCCAGGCACTGTGCTAGACAGTGAAAATAGAAAAAGCAAAGGGAAATGAGCTTTCATTCTAATGAGGGAGTCAAGATGAACATTTATAAGTAGATACAAAATATGTAAAGCAGATACAATGTAAATGCAGAAGAGTCCAGCAACATGAGGGAGTAAGAGTTGAGAAGAAGAGGAGGTGGAAAGGTTGGGATAAAAATCTCTGAGACACTGAGTGCCAGGATGAGGATCAATGAATTAGAACTGGAAAACACCTTAACAGTCACCTGGACCAATACCCCCTTCCCATTTTGTGTTGTTATTGTTCAGTCGTTTCCAGTCCTGTCCGACTCCTCCTCACCCCATTTGGGGTTTTCTTGGCAGAGATACTAGAGTGGTTTGCCATGTGCAGCTCATTTTATAGATGAGCAACTGAGGCAAACAAGGTTAAATGGCTTGCCCAGGCTCCGGAGAAGAAAGTGAGGCTGGTGACCTTGCACAGCCCTCCCTCACTTAAATTCAATTCACTTGCATATCATAGCATCACCTCCCTGCTGTCATGGTCCTCTTCCAGAATGAAGGACAAACAACATCAACATCGCCAACAACACAGTTAGTAATGTTTGAGGCCAGATTTGAACTCAGGAAGACGAGCCTTCCCGACTCCAGGCCGCTGCCCCTTCCCATTTTTCAGATGAGAAAACTGAGGCTCAGAGGGATGAAGTGGCAGAGGCAGATTTTGACCCCAAGTGTTCTGATTCTCAGTTTTCCCTTCTCTCTACGGCACAACACGCCTCCTCTAAAGGGTCTGAACTTGATGCCACAGGAAATGGGGACTTTTTATCAGGGCGTGATAAGAAAGTACCTTTAGAAGATTCATTCCCCCACTGCCCCGCCCATTCTTCCCATTTCCTCGAGGAGAACTTCAGGGACCGCCCACCTCTTAAAGAGGAACTATCCCTAGCCCGTCCCCTTCCCACCAATCCCCCAAACACCTTTTCCGTCTTCTTTCCATTGACCAATCACTGTAATCTCTTCCTGGGCTGGAGGATCCAGCCAATCAGCGCCGAGCACCAGGTACGCAGGACAGACCAATGGAATGACCGCCGCCACACTCCCAATGAGAAAGCGCTGTAGCAGTCACCAATGGATGAGCTTGTTGCAGGAGACCAATGGGATGCGGGCTTTCGGCTGCCCAACTAGAGAGGCCCTGTCAGTCAGAGGGTCCGGTGGCGGCTGCGGTGGCGTAGGTGGCGGAGGCGGAGGTGGAGGAGGAGGAGGAGGAGGACCGTACCGGGGTCCCGGCTGGGGCTGGGCTGAGCTGAGCTGGACGCTGACAGGTGATCCCGGGCTCAGGATCGAGGCCGGGGAGCAGCGGGGCCCTGGAGGCGGTACGAGAGTCCGGCAGGGTTGGTGTGTGGGATCCCCAGGGATTGCGTAGCCCCAGGGCGGTGGGGGCTGTGACCCGGCGGTCCCTGCGTTGCCTTCTCCGGCTGGCACCGACGGGGAGGTGTCCAGGGTGGCAGTGACTGGGATGGAGGCGATCACTAAGGTCGGAAGGATGGGGGTAAGTGAGCAAGACAGACAGATAGTGGGGTCAGTGCTTGGGATGGGCTCAGAGAGTAGGAACATTCCTGGAGCAGGCGTAGACAAGGCTGGCATTGCCCGGGGTGAGAGCAGGTTGGGGGCAGTGACTAGGATGGGCCGAAACTAGGGTGGGCAGACTAGGGGTATGTAGGTAGATATTGTGGGGAGATGGGAAGGAGGATAGCATTTGATGAGTGGGGATATGAATGGGATGAACACGCAAGAGGGGACTGGAGCGCTGCTCGGCTTGGGAAGCATCAGTGATGAGGCCTATAGTTTCTAAGATACTGCCTCTGGTGATCCTGCACTGCAGTTATCCCCTGGTTTTGGCTCTAGCTTTGGCTCCAGTTCCCTCAAAGCTGGGCCAATGCCCTCTGTGTACCCTCTCACTACCTCTAATCCAGTCCAACAAGCATTCATTAAGCACTTACTGCATACAAGGAATCGTGTCGTGTCCCTCCCTTGTCTTTGCTTAGATCTGGTCTTTGGGCAGGTAGTAGTGGATCTATGTAGCTCCTTCCCTGAAAACCCTTTTCTCCGCTCCTTCAAGGACTGAACCTAACCCTCCAGTAGAATTATTCTCTGTCTCAGAAACACTTTCACCAGTTCTTTCCCAAATGACTAAATTGGGTGTTTTAGAGTGAAGAAGATTAAGGAGAAACAGGAGGATGAGCTATGACTAATGATTAGTTTTTCAGTAATCTCCAGAGTGTTGATGTGAGAGCTAGAAGCAGGGTGGTGTTCACATGCATCTATACCCTGGTCTCAAGGGGTCCTCCAGGCAAGAGAAAGCTCTTTTATGGAGACCTGAGGGTCTGGGATAAGCTCTGGGAGTGAGGGAAATAGATTTTTATGACATAGAGTCCCTATCTACTAGAATGGGCCCTGTGGGAATGAGCCTCCTTAGGGAACAGGAACATCTCCTGAATTGGGTGTTAAGAGAAATGTTTTTCTCTCCGATTCAGCTGGAGATACAGACAATATGACTCTGGCTGCTCCCCTGATTCTCTCCCATATTTCCTTCCTCTGGGACTGATGAACATTGTACAGAACCAGCAGGGTGAACTCATGTCATGGTGAAATCCAGTGTTCTCACCCAGAAAGAGTCCTGTCTACCTGGGACGACTTTAGCCTTTCTCAGCCAAAGAGCTGAGAATTTCTTTTCTCAGTTCTTTGATGTGAAGACCCTGGCTAGTTAGATTGTGTACTCTTGGGTGGGGTTGGTCCCTTTTAGGTGTCCTTAGTCTCAGTTTCCAGCACCCCTGCCTCATTTGCCCCCATCATCTCCCAGGTGCCTGAACCTTTGTGACAAGATAGGGTTGCTAAGGGGTTGAGGTTTGGAATTAGACTTCTTTACAGAACAGTAGGGTATGAGTCTGCTTTTTTACTTCAGGGTTGCAAGGAGATCTGTATGATAGAGTAGACTGAGGTGTCTGTCTACTTGTGGGTGGGCTGTATTCATTTTGAGAAAGCCTAGTGTAGTGGACCCCATTCATCCTCAGTTCTGGGCCCTTGAGTATCATGCCATATACTGTCTAAAGATGCTACCCTCTACCGTTTTGGAATAGGGCTGAAGTTGCTTCTGGAAATTTTAATTTGGGAAGAGGGGCTGGATCCAGCACACATTATTGAGAGGAAGGCTTGCTGAGGATAGCTTAGCTTAGAATTCCAGATGCCTCAAAGTATGGTTTTCTACTGACAGACTGGCTACTTCTTAGAGTAATGTCTGCAATCTATCATTAGAATCGTACAGCAGGCAGGTCTCTTAAATATCTAGCCCAGGGGTGGGGAGCCTGTGGCCTGGTAATCACATGTGGCCTTCTAGGTTCTTGGGTTTGGCTTTTTGACTGAATCCAGGTTTTATAGAACAAATTCTTCTATTAAGGGGATTTGTTCTGTGAAGTTTGGATTCAGTCAAAGGGTCGTACTTGAGGATGTAGAGGGCCACATGTGTCCTCAAGTATTCAGGTTCTCCACCTCCTGATCTAGCCCAACCCCTCATTTTATAGAAACGGAATCAGAGGTGAAATGACTTATTCCATGTCATATATCTAGTAAGTATCAGAGCTGGGACTCAGACCAAGGTCTTTAGACCTCCAAGTCCAATGGTCTTTTCATGATTTTATGCAATGATTTTCCATTTTCTCCTAACTCCTGGGCTAGGACAACCTGGGTGGAGAGAACTTTGGGGTGTGGAGCCTAAAGCACCCCTTCAGTTGGCAGAAGATCAAGATGCCGCTATGTCACTGTGCTGCAAGACACAGTGACTCCGATGGAGACTGGGGCTACCCTAGCAGCAGTGGGATCAAGGTTTTCCTCCACTGGAGCAATGGGGGTGACCAGTATGTGACCTACAACCAGGGCACCATGACCGCCGAGGAAATCTGTATTCATATTGCACAGAAAGTGGGTGAGTGGGGTTTGAAGTAAGAGAAAGTTGGATCAGAAATGGGGACTTAGTGGATTAGGGATAAGCAAGCACTGTAGTTTTGAATC